AGCTAACAATTGCCCCTAACGACCCCCTTTCAGAGGCATAGCCCAGTATCGGGTATTGCAGGCTAAAAAAGAAACCAAAGCCATTACGCATTCCTAAGGAGTGGACCTGTTCTTCTGGTTCAATTTGATGTTTTCTAAGGTGAAACAATTTTTTGGGTTACTCGGTAAAGCCTGGAACTCGACGCTATTTCTGACATTTTAAATTGAAAAAGCTTCCTCAATGGGAAGAGAAGCATGGTCAGGGGATTGTTTTTAACTTCTTTGGAATAAAGTCTCAAACCTTGAGAGGAGACGCTCCTGAGGGTCAGAGATTCGGTGGGTCTCAGGATCAGTCGTCCTCGCTGGGCATGCTGACTTCCTGTCGACGGCTCCAGGGACTGGATGGCTTCGTTCAGTGAGGCCTGCTGGGGGGCGGGGAGTACGAACTCTGACTCGTAATACGCCACGATGCTGTCTGGGCCGCCGTCTCCATCGCTGCAGGAGACACACCGTGAACAGAGGAGGAAAGATCTCCCGCCACCATGACGGCTCTCGTCTGGAGCGTCCTCTCGCTCATCATGAACACCAGAGAAACTTCAGAGAAGAACATTTCTCTGAAGCGTTGGTGATCTAGGAGGAGAACATGTGCAGCATACCTGAATGCCTGGACCGAGCAGCGTGTGAAGTATTTGTCCAGGACAGAGTTTTCCGAGTACATCCGTCTGAGCTGAAAGAGAAGGAGTTCAGTCAGAAGGTTCCACCTCCACCTGCAGAGGAAGTGATGGTCAGGCGCCGCTGGTTCTCACCTCCTTGTTGACCTGATCGGCCAGCTTCTTGAACTGGAGGCTGCTGGGATCCTCATACTCCGGAAGGAAGGGTTTGGCACTGATCCCCACAGAGCCGATGTAGACTTTTTTCACCTTGACATCTTGGTGTACTGAAGAAAAGACCAGAAGAGAACCTCAGCCAGATGTGAATGCAGCAGCTGATAGGGTCTGGGATGTTTGGCTGGACGCCGTGACAACAGAACCAGCGACTCATGACATCCAGGTGAGATCTATGTCCTCCCTGCTCTCAGCCAGACTGAAAGAAAGACTCTATTCTGCAGTTTGTCCAGCTGCCAGCAGGGGGCTCCTGCTGTTCCAGGCCCGTCCTCTCTGCTGGACATGGAGACGAGTCCAACGTCTGGCTTCAGAGGACCAATCAGAGTGGACGGTTCTGAAAACAGACTCAGGTTCTGCTCTTAATTCATTGAAGAAGTGATGAAAAATAT